TAAATTTTATTTTTTATTTCTATACAAATTTTAAATAAAATAAATTTAAAAACTTGATAATTACCTCATTTTTAAAAATGTACTCCCTCCGTCCCAAATTATAATGCCTGTTTACTATTCACAGGGTCAAACTTCATTCACTTTCTTTCTCTATTTTCATTAGCAAATTGATAAAATAAAATATTGTTGTCACCACTAGTTTTGTAGATCTTTTGATGTAGTATTTTGATATGTAATTTTTATTTTTTAATTCTATACCATTTGTCATATAAAATGATTTGAAAATAACTTCAGTCAAACATCGTAAATCGAAACAGGCGTTATAAAATGGGACGGAGGTAGGATTAATCATTTAGAAACCGTAGGAGTATTATTTTTTCTTGGGTTTTTCTTCGGTACCCTTGAAAATCAATGGGCATGCATGCCCCTCCACTCAAAATTCGACATGTGGACTAATATCAATGATGAATTGGCCTATATTCTCTCCCTCCCATTAATTCAAAGTCTAAAGTGTTCCACCTTTTTTACTCCTAATTTTTTTGAATCGCACCACTCCACTAATACAAAGTTAATTCGTGTTAATTAAGCACTAATTCTTTTACTCAATTAACATACTCCATCCTTTTTCAATTAGATTACAATATTTTTTCTCTCTCTTCTCTCGACAATCTTTGTTTTTTTATATATTTTTATTGAGTACGTAGTATTTGATAAAATAAAATATTTTTCTCAACACTCATTTTGTAGAAATTCTGACGTAGTTTTTTAATATGTAATTTTTATTTTTTATTGATATACCAATTTATAAACAAAATGATTTCAAAAAGTGAGAGATTTTGTATCGTAACTCACAATTAGTAATCAAATTAGAGACGAAGGTAGTATGTACTATGTAGTACTCCATTAGCACTAGCTGTAATGATCATGCAATTATTGTTTTTATATTTATCTACTTTTAATTATAAAATTCCATCCTTTAAAATTAAAATAAATAAAGTATTTTTTTTATTTTTTTTATTTTGTAATTTTTTTGTTTAAATTTCTTTGGCCAAACCTTTTTTTTTCATTTTTGTTTTGGTTTTTTCTTTTTTGTCCAAACCATTTTTTTGGTTTTTAATTTTTTTTCTTTTACCTTTTTTATAGTATAACAAAAAAGGTGAATTTTTTAATTATTCCTTTATATGAGATGGTTTTTCCATATTTAATCTTCTATCATCAAATATTATGTATGTCGTCTTTTTTAGGGTTCCTTACCACGGATAGTCTTTTTTATCAAGCTGTGTTAAATTAAAGGGTAAAAGTATAATTTCAAAGTGATAATATATCTTTCTTGTCATAGTCAATGCCAGAAGTCGCTCATGATGCGTTGTTTGCTAACTAGAATCGTTGTTTACTATAACTACAGTCTACAAATATCATCTTTAGTCGGAATCCTAGCCATAATTAGTCATTATTGATGTACATATTGTCCGTCTAGTCAACATCAGAATATGTCACTACACATTGGGTCAAAAAGAACTATTCAACATATAAAATAAGAACCACATTAATACTCCCTCCGTGACATAAGCTTTTCCCATTACGCGTTACGAGCCTTGACCGACTTTATTTTCATTTCAATTTAACTAATTATAGAGTAAAATTTTAAAATAGAATTTATATAGTACGGACTAATAAACTACATGAAAAGTTCTACAAACTAGAGATGACAAGACTATATTATTTTACGAAATGACTAGTAAAAATAAGAATACAAAGTAAGTGAAGTTTGACGCTGTGAATAGTGTCTGCAAAGATCTATGGTGGACAAAGAGAGTATTTGATAAGAGGGAACTAAATATGAAAACCATCTTGTTATAAAAGACTACTTATAGAATTAATCTAACAAAAAACAAAACATAAACTTGTTTAACTTAAAATTAAAGGAAAACAATGGAATAGTATGATTTGAAATTAAAATGTGTTTCTTCCAAAATATAATACTCGTAGTAATACAACACAATTCATTCAATTCAGAATAGTGTGGGCAAAAAATAAAACATAACGTCTGATGGTGTAAATATAGATGGGTGGGTTGACCGGGTTTGACCTGGACACTTGACCCGTAATATAAAACACACAACAAGAACACAAAGTATGACCTAGACCGGGTAAATCTCCTCAGTCCGAAATATATTTCTTACTCTGTCTCAAGAGTGTACTAGTTTTTAGTGAGAGAAAGAATTGATCCCCTCCTCTATCCAATATTATCATATTTATAGAGGAGGATTTGTGACCTTCCCCTGTTCA